AAGTCTCATCAATCCAAGTCTCATCACTTTTCTGGCAAGGTAGAGGAGAACGTATTCCTAGAGAGGTAGATAAGGAAGGTCTACTCATTTTGAAATGACACTAGAAAAAAATCTCTTATAATATCCTTGTGAAAAGATTAAATTTTAGGAGAGCTGTGTGATTGAATAACTATATTCACAGTACTGATTCATGAACTTGACCTCTCCATGCCTTAGTTGCCTTATCAGTAGAAGGAGTATAATTGCACCTCACTGGATTGTTATGCAAACTAATGCGCTTAGAACAGTGCCTGGCATTTAGTCAGCACTACATACATGCATGTTGAATAAATTAGAACAGAAGTTTCTAGTGGCATACTTGTGCAGCACCTGGCACCAATTTCCTTAATGTTTCCATCAGAAATTTGTTAAATTTTCATACGGTATGCTTGTCAAATGCTCAGATAATATAAATGCTAGATGATGAAATCAAAATCCAAAAATTTCTTGACAGGGCAGGGCTATTAAATGAGATATATGAGATAAAATTAAATCCTGGATAAGGATTTTAAGAAAAACAATTTTTTTTACAAGTACTAGCCTGGCTTGCCAGAACTTTACGTGGATAAGAAAGGGAAATTTAGTTCACTAAAAGCTCATGCTCTTGCTGGTGTGGCTGAGTGGATTGAACACCATCCTTCAAACCAAAAGGCTGCCGGTTTGATTCCCTGTTATAGGGCGTATTACTGGATGCAGGTCAGATCCCCAGGTGGGGACATGTGGGAGGCAGCTGATCCATGTTTCTCTCCTGTTCTTTCTCCCTCTCTTCCCCTCTCTCTAAAAATAAATAAATTAAAAATTAAAAAATGCTCAGCATGCATAAAACTGTGTCTAGCAATTAATGCAAAGTTTAAGTGTATTAGGTTGCAGAGCTGTAGTGTCCTGATGAAGACATAGATGCCAAGATGGTGGGCACATTGCCCATCATAAACTCTTCTCTCCCCTTCCCGTCTTTAGGTTCTTCTTAAGTAGTGGCTCTGAGTACAAGAAGGAGCTGATGACCACAGATGAATAGGAAGGAAATATAAAGCAATAATAGACCATATTTCTAACTCATTAGAATGGCAGGAAACATACTCAGGTGAGTATGTTAAGACAGCCTCAAGATTTGTAAAGAAATATAATTAGAAGTTTATCAGGGCACCTAATGGCTCACTGTGTTACACGCTAAAATAAATTCCCGTCTAAACATGATTATTACAGGATTTATCTGCTCTATTTCCTATAGGAAATCAAGATACTCACAGGCATTTAATCAAATTTTTTCCTCCTAATAATCTGTCCCTGACAAAAGAAGATTTTTGCCATCCCACACTATAGAAAAGAAATTGAGGCAAAGAAGTAAATAGAATTGCCTTGGGTCTCAGAAAACTGGAATTACAATTTAGCACCTACTCTTAGGGTGCACAGTATGAGCTTTAGAAGCAAGCATACTAGAATCACATTACAGCCTTCAAGAAAAAGCTGATTTATCTTAATCTCTGGGAGAGAGATTAATTGTATTTTCCTTAAAACATGCCAAAGACCTTGAATAAACACTTTGGATTCCACATGTTTATTCTAATATTTTTCCAAATACTTAGAAATCCTTTGTTTGATGATTAGGAAGATGCTAGAAATTAACTTAAAAAACTAAAGCAAGTATTAGTTTGCTAGAATCTCCAAGGAAAAAAATAATAAAAAAAGTTGTATCATATGCTCACAGCATTCACCTAGGACACGAAACTATAAAATAAGCATTAATTAAGATGGTCCCTCTGTTCCCCAGCCCCATAATCTGTTTCCAGCCCAACCTCACTGTCTGGGGATTGCATAGATAAAGGTTAAGTGAAAGCATTTTTTAAATAAAAAGGTCCCATGCATACATTAGTTATTCTTATAATGATTTACATATTTCACCTCATTATTGAAAAAAATTTTTGTTCATTATAAAAACCTGGAAAATAAAGTTAAGCAAACCACAATGAATCAAAAGTACCCACTATGCTAAGAATCTTGTGTACTTGTTTAAAACTGGATATTTTCTAAGACTCATTTTATTGGTTAGGCCATGAGAAAATCAGCCAAATGCTGTATCCTTAAGGATCTGTGCTCAGATTCCCTTTACCTAACTGGTAAAAAATGATAACTTATCCACAGAAAATTATCTTTCATTTTCTTGGCACTTGTCTCAGTAGAGTTAAGGCTACTACTTAATATACTTGGTGGTAAAAAGAAGAAATAAATTCCTAATTGTTTCTTACTGGCCTGAAAAATTTACACTACATTTCTAGGATTAAGTCATTTATCCAAACTAGCAAATATCATGGGCAAAATGGATTGTGACTATTTATTTGTACACACACATAGTCTCAAGTGCTAGAGGTCATGATTTTAAATACATTTTGTTGGATTCTTCCTTTCTCTTGAACAAAAGACATACACACTGAGAAACCATACAAGAGCTGAGTCAAGAATAGATTAGTAATCACCTGGCTGGTGTGGCTCAGTGGGCTGAGTGCCAGCCTGTGAACCAAAGGGTCACTGGTTTGATTCCCAGTCAGGGCACATGCCTAGGTTTTGGGCCAGGTTCCTAGTTGGAGGTGCAAGAGAGGCAACTGATTGATGTCTCTCACACATTGATGTTTCTTTCCCTCTCTGTTTTCCTCCCTTCCCCTCTCCAAAAAAATAAATAAACAGAGAACTTCTGGCCAAGATGGAAATGTAGGTAGATACACTTTGCTTCCTCACACAACCAAAAGAAGGACAACAACAAATTTAAAAACAAAAAATAACCAGAACTGACAGAAAATCGAACTATATGGAAGTTTGATAACAAAGGACTTAAAGAAGAAACATTCATCCAGACCAGTAGGAGGGGTGGAGATGGGAGGCCAGGGTGGAAAGGACCAGAGGCAAGGCAGAGGCTGGAGGACTGGGGCAGGCAAGGTGGCTGCTGGTGGAGTGGGCATCCCCACATTCGAATGTGGATAAATTGGGAAGGACAAATGGGGAGCAAGGCAGACCACACAATGCAGGGTTCCAGGGGGGAGAAATAAAGCCTCAAAAACTCTGTCTGAGAAAACCTGTGGGGATTGAGGCAGCAGGAGAAACACCCAGCCTCACAGGACAGTTTGTTGGAAAGAACCACAGGGTCCTAGAACATACATAAACCCACCCACCCACCCAGGAATGAGCATCAGAAGGGACAAATTTGCTTGCAGGCAGTGGAGGAAGTGACTGAAAGCTGGAGGAGAGCTGAGCAAGCAGCATTGTTCTCTCTCAGACCCTGCCCCACATATAGCACCACAACACAGCAATGTCAGTTGCCCCATCCTGGTGGACACCTAAGGCTCCACCCCTTATTACATAACAGACATGCCAAGACAAAAAATATGGCCCATATGAAAGAACAGATCAAAGCTCCAGAAAAAAATACAACTAAGTGATGAAGAAGATGACCAACCTACCAGATGCAGAGTTCAAAACACTGGTAATCAGGATGCTCACAGAATTGGTTGAGTATGGTCACAAAATAAAGGAAAAAGTGAAGGCTATGAAAAGTGAAATGAAGGAAAATGTATCGGGAACCAACAGAAAAGGGAGGCAAAATGGGACTCAAATCAATGGTTTGGAGCAGAAGGAAGAAATAAACATTCAACCAGAACAGAATGAAGAAACAAGAATTCAAAAAAATGAGGAGACTATCTGTAACCAGAGGGGAGGGGAGAGGAAAATAATGGGGGAAAGAAGGGAAAGGATTGTCAAAGAATGTGTATGAAGGCCCCATGGACAAAGCCAAAGGGGGATAGGATTGAGGGCAAGAGGTGGGGGTTGGTGGAGTGGTGGCGGGAAAATGGAGACAACTGCATTTGAATATTAATTTTAAAAAATGATTAAAAATGCAAAAAGAAAAAAATTAAGAGAGGCTTTGGAACCTCTGGGACAACTTTAAACATTCCAATACTTGAATCATAGGGATACCAGAAGGATAAGAAGAACAGGAAATTGAAAACTTATTTGAACAAATAATGAAGGAAAACTTCCCCAGTCTGTCCAAAGAACTAGACATGCAAGTTGAGGAAGCTCAGAGAGTGCCAAAGAAGTTGGACCCAAGGAAGTACACACCAAGGCACCTCATAATTACATTACCCAAGATCAAAGATAAGGAGAGAATCTTAAAAGCAGCAAGAAAAAAGGAGACAGTTACCTACAAAGGAGTTCCCATAAGGCTATCAGCTGACTTCTCAAAAGAAACTTTACAGGCAAGAAAAGGCTGGAAACAAGTATTCCAAGTCATGAAAGGCAAGGATCTACATCCAAGATGACTATTTCCAGCAAAGCTTTAATTTAGAATAGAAGGGCAGATAAAGTGCTTCCCAGATAAGGGCAAGTTCCAGGAGTTCATCATCACCAAGTCCTTATTATATGAAATGTTAAAGGGCCTCAGCTAAGAAAAAGAAGGTGAAAATATGAACAGCAAACTCACAATTATCAACAACTGAACCTAAAACAAAACAAAAATGAACTAAGCAAGTAACTAGAACAGGAAAAGAATCACAAAAATGAACATCACATGGAGGGTTATCAAGTGGGGAGGCGGAGGAGGAAGAATGGTGGAAAAGGCACAGGGAATAAGAAGCATAAATGATGTATACAAACTAGACAGGGGGAGGTGAAGAGTAGTATGGGAAATGCAGAAGTCAAAGAACTTAAATTTATGAGCCATGGACACGAACTAAGGTGGGGGAATGGCTACAGGGCAGAGGAGAATAAAGGGGAGAAAAAATGGGACAAGTGTAACAGCATAATCAATAAAATATATTTTTAAAAATAAATAAATATTTTTAAAAGGATAGATTAGTAATCAGCAAAAGGGAAAAACAGTAAAATCTTTCTGAATAGTTAGCAAATGCTACCAGGAGAGCACCAAATTTCAATACCTTTCTTTTTCCCATCCTAAGAAAAAATTATTTCATTACCTTTTTGTTCATAGCTACACCATCCTCACAGTCGAGCACTGCACAATCAACATTCAGGGACGGAATCTTCTTTATTTTCTTTTCTTCATTTCCAGGTACATAGAGCACTGCCCTCCGAGGAATGTACTTGTGATTGGGTGAGGAACTATATCCAAGCCTGGGCACATCAGCTGCCAGAGATGCTTTCCTGCAGGAGACATAATTGGGATTAGTCCAGAACAGAATTCATTTACAAATTTTTGAAAAACCTGATTTTGATGCAAAATTAAAATAGAAAACACAGATACCCTTTTAAAATTATGGCAGAATGCAATCACACATAACAGTCAGGAAAACAATAACAACAGAAATAACCAAGAAAACAAAATGTCATTTGACTGAGGTTTAAAAATATATAACACTGTTTAGTGACACAGTTTTCTGAGAAAAGAAGGAGAGTATACCTATTTCGTCCAGGAAAAAAAAACTTTCAGTATTAGCATATTGTCTAGATATCATCCATGGAGAAAAAGGAGACATTTATATCCAAAAGTTCCTAAATAACAACACTATCCACAATTATATGAAAGTAAAAAGATAGAAAACAAAAAAATATGTAAGCATAAGTCTTTTCCAGTAGATTATTAAATGATTCAAGTTCAGTTTTGTCTTTTTTTAAAGATTTTATTTATTTTTAGAGAGAAGAAGAGAAACATCAATGTGTGGTTGCCTACCACACACCCCCTACTGGGAGCCTAGCCTGCAACCCAGGCTTGTGCCCTAATTGGGAATCAAACTGGCGATGCTTTGGTTCACAGGCCAGCACTCAATCTACTGAGCCGCACCAATAAGGGCTCAAGTTTAGTTTAAATAACAAAGATAGTTGGTCATAGTTGGTCACTTCTTGAGTAGAGAGGACAGTTAACGAGAAAAGACCATTACTAGCTCTGCAATTGTGGGCAACTTAATTACTGGAAACTTCAGATTCTTCATTATAAAAATAATACTCATTTTGCAGGATGTTGAAAGGATTATGAAACAGGAAATAATGCATCTGAAGCATTTAGCCAGAGCTTAGAAGATTCTAGCTCCTTATGTGGTGGTGGGCACAGCAAGAGGAGTTAGTAGCTGCTGGTGTTGTTAATGGAGAAACTTGAGCTGTCAGTAACTCTGGCCTGCTTCTAAATTCTGTGCTCTCCTCCTTTTCCTACTGTACTCAGTCTGGCCTCCTAAGGAAATAAGAGAAGTTGGCTAGAAGCTCCACTGGCTCACAGTAGCCCTCATCCCTCACCTAGTCCACAGCTTGATCCTGAGGAAATCAAGTTTTAGCCCATAATAAAGCCCGTAAACGAAGGTGAAACCAGCTTTTATCTGGGGACCTGGCCCGCAACCCAGGCATGTGCCCTGACTGAGAATTGAACAGGCAGGCCCATGCTTAATCCACTGAGCTACACCAGCTAGGGCTAACTTTAGCCTTGATAGCAGAACCAGTCCTTTGCTGGTTCTGGTTTGCTTATCTGAAAATCAGGACCAGTTACATAATTTGCAGCACCCACTGTAAAATCAAAATGCGGGGCCCCTTGTTCAAAGTTTATTTGAAATTTCAAGATGGAGATAGAAGAACATTAAACTAAGCAATGGATTCTTCTAAGCCCAGTCACACATCCATGCCTGTCTTTCCCAAAATAGACAAAGATAAATGTCACAAAGCTCCAGTTGAGGAAAGGTTAAAGCCCTAGAAAATTGGTAATGCTCTGTTTACTCTACCCTGGCTAAGTAAGATCATCCTTTTCAAAAATATGTCAGCTATACTCTTCACAAAAGCTCTTTTTGGTAGTTATCCTAAGTTAATGTCATCAATTATTTCAAATGGTTATCATATTTTGCCATGGTTAATGACCTTCTGACAATGTATCTCAAGAAAAATCACTATCTCCTGTGGGGGCTCCCTCATTCTTCCCTGCAGCCAATCTTCATACTGAATTTTGAGTCTGAGTCTTAATTTTTTACAAATAAGCACTGTGCTATGTGAGGTATGATAAGATATAGACAGGTTTTAGGAGTGTACATGTCAGTGTATAAAGGACACATGGACAAAGCAAAAGGGGGGTAGGATCAAGGGTGGGAAGTAGGGATGGGTGGGGTGCGAGGAGAGGGTGAGAAATGGGGAAAATGGAGACAACTGTACTTAAACAACAATTTTTTAAAATGCCATTAATAAAAAGAGAGAAAAAATAGGTGTACATGTCTTTGAAGGCATTTTATTTAATATAAAATATATTATGGTCTGCTAATTGAAGAATGCCTGAAGTATCTGTCACCATTTTAATACTGATTGAGAATTTCTGGTTTATCTTTAAAAATGGAGAAAATATAATGATGTAAACAGCAGCAATCATATTTCACTTATCTTCCACACTGGAAATCAAAATGTTCAATATACATTTCCTCAAAAATAGCAAAAATGCTATTAAAAGAGATGAATTTTTTATTTTGCAGGAAATGCTTGGGGCAAAGAGACTTCTCATCAGGATTTGTTGTAAACACACGTGTAACAACTAAAGCAAGAATCAGAACGGCTGTAGGGGGAAGATGGTCCTTCCTGCAGCTCTCATCTCACCTTTCCTTCCCAGATGTCTCTAACAGCCTGGATGTCTGGACATCTCTGTCCCACTGGTAACTGACCTTCACTTCATGAACACTGATATTTCCTCCATGTGACATAGCCTCTTACCACCATTTTGGGTCCAGGTACTATTATCTCCAAGCATACCAAATCTCAGAGCCTGGGCTGCTCAGACGTGGCAGATGGGCCATTTGTGGCATGACAAGTAAGACCATTGTCATATGCTAAGCACTAGAGCAAGCAAATCATTCCTAGGACATTGACATAATGTATAATTTTTAAAACAGATGATCATTTAAAAAATATTCTGTCATTGTTAAAAACGTGTCTGGTTTCCCAAAGTCTTCTATAATCATCAAAATAATGTTTTGCTCATATCTTCCCCTGGTCCAAACTGTCAACAACTCCCCATTACCTACCTGATCAAGTTCAGTGTCAGCTGATATTCCATTTGTCAATTTATATCCCACTATTCATATGAAGCAACTATCCACCCAAGCAAAATGAGATTATGATTGTCTCCACAATATACTGTATTTATTCAATAAAACTGTGTCTTTGTTTCTGCTGTGCTTCTGATGGCAGTTTTTCATCTCAGTTTATTTGAACCTTATGGGTCCTTCAAGTTCAGTTCAAGATTCACTTCACCCCTGAGTCTTTTCTGACCTTTTATCTTTAAACTCATTTGTCACTCATAAGCAAAATAGAACCAGCAAAGGGTTGGTTCTGCTATCAAGACTAAAGTTAGCCCTGCCTGGTGTAGCTCAGTGGATTGAGTGTGGGCCTGCAAACCAGAGGTTGCCGGTTCTACTCCCAGTCAGGGCATATATCTGGGTTGCGGGCAAGGTCTCCAGTGGGGGGGCTCATGAGAGGCAACTACACACTGATGTTTCTCTCCCTCTCTTCCTCCTTCCCTTCTCTCTAAAAATAAATAAATAAAATCTTTTTTAAAAAGGCTAGAATCAATCAAGGTGGCTACAAGCTTTCTGGAGAGCCAAATGATGATACCAATTAAGAGACTTTAAAAAGTGAGATTTTAAAAGGTTCCTACCTTTTGACACAGTAAGTCTAAGTAATTTCACCTAATTCCTTTTAGGAGTTACTACAGACTGAAAGTTTGTGTCCCCCTACAGTTTATATGTTGGAACCTATTGCCCAATGGTATAGTATTAAGAGGAGGGGCCTTTGGAAGGTGATTAAGTCATGAGAATGAAGCCCTCATAAATGGGATTAGTACCCCTATGAAAGAGACCCCAGACTTTCTGTCAAGATGGAGGCATAGGTAAACACACCTTGCCTCCTCACACAACTACAGAAAAAAATGACAACTAGACTACAAAAAAAAATTACACCCAGAAATGTCAGAAAATTCAGCTGTATGGAAGTCCAACAAGTATTTTAAGAAGCCACATTCATCCTAATGGGTAGGAGGCACCAAGACACAGATGCATGGAGAGGCAGGGAGAGATGGAGAGACACAGAGAAGCATGAAGTGGCACAGAGACAGAAAGCAGTCAGTCCTACATCTATGTTTAGTGGGTAAAAATCAAGAGAGATACCTCAGGAGTAAGGGATCCCAGACTCAGACCAGACCACCCAGCCCTGGGTTTCAGCCCTAGGAAATTAAGTCCCCATAATTTCTGGCTGTAAAAAACTGGGGGTTGGGGCAGGGAAGAAATTGCAGGACTTATAGGAGACTCCTCTTAAAGGGCTCACAATGGACTTAAGACTTATGCAGACCCACTCCCTCTGGAATTCAGCACCAGGGCAATAGCTGGAAGGGCACCAGTGGCATAGAGGGAGAAAATGAAGTGACTGGCATCAGGGCAAGTGCCAGGAGATGGCTTCCTCCCAGACAAAACTCCTGAGGCCAGACAGTGGCATAGTCCACTCTTTAAGCCCTCCCCCACATAGAGCCACAGAGCAGTGACATGTTGCCCAGCCCTGGCAATTACCTAAGGCTGTGCACCATACAACTTACAGGTGTATTCTTCTACAATAGGCCATGCTAAGACAGGGAGTCAAAGCAAGTGTACCCAATACACAGAAACAAAGACAGGGAGGCTGCCAAAATGAGGAGACAAAGAAATATGGCCCAAATGAAGAGCAGAACAAAACTCCAGAAAAACAACAAAACGAAATGGAGATAAGCAATCTATCAGATGCAGAGTTCAAAACACTAGTTATCAAGATGCTCCAGAAACTCAATGGATACTGTAACAGCAAAAAGAAGATGACGACGACAACCCAGGCAGAAAAATGAAGGTTACATTAAGTGAAATACAGAAAAAAATCTACAGGGAACAAACAGTGGAGGGGATAAAGCCAAGAATCAAATCAACAATTTGGAACATAAGGAAGATAAAATCATTCAACAAAAACAGAAAGAAGAAAAAATAACTTTAAAAAATGAGCATAGAGTAAGGATCCTCTAGGACATCTTCAAATGTATGAACATCCAAATCACAGGTATGCTAGAAGAAAAACAGCAAGAAATTGAAAGCTTATTTGAAAAAAAATAATGAAACAAAATTTCCCTAATTTGGTGAAAACATACAAGTTCAGGAAGCACAGAGTCCCAA